CCGATGCCGACAATTGAAAGGCTGATGTTGCTGGTGTCGGTGTAGGGGGAGGAATAGGATTGCAGCCCTTCAATTTGAACCTCATTCCTCTTTCCTCAGTCTTTCTATTCCTAAATAATAATAATGAGACTATTGCTCCTGCGCTTGTCTTTACTAAATCCCGCTTCGATGATCTTGATATGATTCTGTGGCCATAATCTACTCCACTTCCAACTGCGGTTCCAACTTCAAAACCCATGTTGTTGATCTGGAGGAGGAGGAGGAGGAGGAGGAGGAGGAGGAGCAGCAGCAGCAAGAGCCAGATAATGCCGGATGCTCTCAATTGCGTAGGGAGTGCACGTATACACGCTTTTGGGTGCTTTCCGGCAAATAAAGCAAGTGGGGTTTTCGATATTAAATACTTTTTTTTTTTGCCCTTTTTAACTCCGTTTGTAATTAGCATTAATTTTGGAAAACCCCTCAACTATGGGAGTGTTTCAGAAAAGGACAAGTTCTCAAAATAGACTCTATTAGAAATTTATTTATAAAAACCGGTCACTTTGAGATTTATTTACCACTTTTGACCTAGTATCGACCACTTGGCTGAAACTGGATCGAAAATGGTTAATAAATCTCAAAAACTTCACGGGATTCTAAATCCTATGAAGTTTAGTTGCCAAATTACTCAGCTTAATTAGTATTAGGTTGGGTCATTAGGCACTAAACTTCATAGAATTTAGAATCCTGTGAAATTTTATTCACTATTTTCGACCCAGTTTCAGCCAATTGGCTAAAACCCGGTCGAAAATGGTGAATAAATTGTAAATGGATCAACTTTTACAAATAAAGTTCTAATATGGTCTATTTTGAAATTTATCATTCTTAAAACCCCATCACCTATTTTTAATTTGTATAGGGCCTGTTTGGTTCAATAGAGAGTAGGAATAGGATTAGGAATCCTATTTTATTTATGGATTCCAACCTAATCCATAAAAAATTTATAGACAAGTTTTAGTTTTATGGAATCCTATTTTTTTTGTATTCTATGTTTGTTTCACCCAAGGATTAGGAATAGGATTAGGAATCAGAATAAAAAAGAGGAGAGGTGTCAGAAATTCCACCCAATTCCTAGCAAATGGAGTGGATTTGGATTTCCTGAAATATACACTGTTTGAGCCACTTTATAGATTAGCAATTCTATAAAAAATTTTTGAACCAAACTCAGGATTAGGATTCATTTGGAATCCATTAATTACGAAAACGCCATTGTCAGGTCCAAATACCATTCCTATTCCATAAAATTGGTGAAACAAACATGCCCAGAGTGTTGACCTCTTCAACCTTGAAATTTTGACAAAATCCCTTCAACGTTTCTCAATTAACCCCCGCTAACTAACATTGTTAAGTTTAACATGTTGTGTGACTTATAATGACTAACATACCCTCATCCATAAACAAATTAGCTCGCATTTTGTTAGAATGANGAAGAAAGAGGGGGGGGGGGGGGGGGAAAAAGGGAAAAGAACATTATAAATAGCTCAAGGTTACTTTTTCAGGTAGGGTTCAGACTAGGGGTGCATTCGGTTTGAATACAGCTCGGATATGATGCTTGCCATGTTCATATCCGCTTACCCATCTCGGATACGGATACATATATACCACAGTAAGGAAAATTAATATGTATATCCGTTAAAATCGGATACGGTTATGGATATACATGCGGGTATATAAGCGAATATGTATGCAGATACAAAATGGATATGATAAAACTAAATAATATTGAGAAAAACATAGTTCATATAATACAAAAGAGTTCGTTAATATATTCATTATAGCTGAAAAGCTAAGATTAGTCATCTTGATCATCAAAATTAACCACAAATTCATAATCTAAGAATTAAAGCTATCATAAGGGTATGACTAATATGCATTCTGATATTTCGGATACGGATCCATATATTTCACTACAAAACCATATCTGTAACCATATCCTATTGGTTATAGATTTGAGTAACTATACCTGTATCCGGTTTCAGATATTTTCTCAGATGATACGATTTATCACTCCTAGTTCAGACGATTAACTCAAAAATATCCTGTTGAGAAGGGATATGTATGAACATTCCCAAAATTAATGTGGTTTTCTCAAATAGAAATAGCTTATGAGGATTTTCTAATACGCAGTCATTACTGAGAGTGTCTTCTCAACCTAATCCTTCTCGTTCATTTTAGTCGAGAACTTTTTTTCCCCTAATTAACTTTTTATTTTTTAATAATTAATAATTAACGTTTATTAAATTTTTTTGGCTAAAGACCTATATTGATATTTTAATTCCACCCCGTTTATCAAGAATATATTTTAATTAGACAAACCTGCTTTAAGGCATTTTAATTGATTCAACTTACCAACAAGGCCCTTTTTCTCGTCGGCGACTAGTTTTCCGACGAGAGCTCGTCACGTGCGCGGCACGTGATGACTTAAACTATTTTTTAGTTACTGATATAGCACAGATTTTCTGACATGACAATGTTTAAATGCGGGAATTAACCTTCTAAAAATCCCAATTCAGCTAAAATAGGACAGATCCGTGCCACATCAGCAACTAAAAAATAGTTTAAGTCATCATATGCCACGCACGTGACGAGCTCTTGCCGGAAAACTAGTCACCGACAAGAAAAATGGTTTTATTGATAAGTTGAATCAATTAAAATACCTTAAAATATGTTTACCTAATTAAAATATCTTCTTGATAAATAGAGTGGAATTAAAATACCAATATGGGTATTTGGCCCATTCTTTCCCCTAGACAACCAAATAGGCCCGAGACGGCGTACGTTGATCTGTGGTTGCCTCGTTCTCGGTGGCTGCACCATGGACTCACTCGACGCCCAAACCACCACCGCCTCCTCCTCTCCAAACCCTAACCCTAATCCTCCCACCTCCGATCTCCCTTCTTCAATCTCGCTCCTCGAGGACGCAATCCTCGCCGCTGAATCCACCATCAAATCCCTCTCCTCCTCCTTCTCCAGTCCCTCTCAAGATTCCTTCTGCGTTTGCCCTCACGATTCCCGCCACCGTCTCCCGCCGGAATCCCTCTTCCGCCACTCCCTCCTCTGCTCCTCCTCCCCTTCAACTCCTCCTCTTCTTGATTCTCTCGAGCTTCTCAAAACCCTTCGCTACACAAAACCCTCTCCCATCAACCAAAACCCCCTTTGCCACGAATCCGGCGAAGATCTATGCTTCTCCCTCGACGACAACGACGACGACGGCGACGATTGTTTCTTCTATAAAGATTGCCCGGCTGTCGTCTCCCTTCACAAGCTCCCCGACGCGGATTCCTCCACCCAAACCTTCCTTCTTCCTGCCATTATCTCCGCCGAATGCGCCAACTTCATTCGTGATGCCCGCAAAGAGGAGCAAAGGGGGACTGAGTTGAAGATTCTGCCATCGGAGTTCTGGGCTTTGAGATGCGAGGTGGAGGCGTGGGCGGAAGATTACCCGGCCGCTTACTCTTGCGCTGTTCTTCGCGTGGCTTCTGGTCTGGATAGGCTTGAAGAATGTGGGTTTAAGAGATGGGTTATATCTAATTCGCCTCGATTCGGGGTTGTGATTGATGCGGCGATGAGAGACCATGTGTTTCTTCTTTTCAAACTATGTTTGAAAGTTGTTCGGAGGGAAGCTTTATGTTCCCTTAACTCAAAAGCTACTAATTCTTTTGAGTGTCCAAAGTTAGTTAGTAGCCTTATGTGGCTAGCATCTCAGCTTTCTATTTTGTATGGGGTAGCAAATGGTAGGTTATTTGCGATAGCAATGCTTAGAGAATCATTGTTGAATGTTGGGTTCAATTCTATGGTGTTTAAGTCAAAGGATGGTTCTGTGAGCGTCACTAGTGATGATGGTATCGATGGGAAGGGGTGTGAATATTCTCAGCCGAAATCTTCTGGAGGCTTAGAGATTTCAAAGAATGTGGAAGAGTCAGATGGTGGCCGGGTATTTGTCTCGCAGATTGCGGCTGCAGTTGCTGCGTTACACGAGAGGTTGCTGCTAGAAGAAAGGATTAAGGAACTATGGTTTGCCCGAAAGGTTCCCAAATCTCAGCTGTATGTCTCCTTTTTCTCCTATTTTGCTTGCCTAGTGTTTTGTTCATACAGAAACAGTGTGGAATTCATTTTTATTTTTTGCCGGAGACTTTTCAGCTAATTTTTGTTAAGTTGATTCCTAGATCGTCCTTATGATGCATCATCATGTTTATAGCATGCTGCTACACTGCTAATAAGCTTGTACGTTGGTAATTTACAACTCCTATTTGTGGAAAAGCTAAAGTCCACTTCACCAGGTTTAGAAAGTAAGGACAAACTTGTTAGTACAAATTTCTTCAATTTGTATCTTTGGACAGAACACCATATGTTTGTGGAATGGGGCTTTATTATGTAATTGAACATTTTTCTTGGTTGACATTAATATTCAAATAAATCATTAGTGACTAGGTAAATTTCTGCCCAAATGGATGACACATTACTGGAGGTGCATTAGAACTTCATCCTCATAATGAAAAACGTGATTAATGAGGTATTGAAGAAAGGGAATTTTGTATGGATTGCTGTTGCTAGATATGACTTCAAAGACGCGAAGAATTTTATGACCCGAGATCCAAAAGATACACCCTTTCGAGGAGTTCTATGCTATAGTGCAAACTCTATGCATTTAGTGTGACTGTTTTCTGGGAGCTATCTTGAATGCTGACTGGAGGGTTTGCTAGGATGCTCGGGCACAGAAGAGCCGTCTTCATTGTTTGGGTGTATGGTTTGACGAGAAGTATCAAGGGAAAGAAGGGGGAGAGGGAAGATGAATACTGGAGGGATTTTTTGATGATGATGGCAACAATGGCATCAACAACTAGTAGGAAATTTTGATTGGCTGCTACATCGAGAAGTGGGGTTTGATGTTATTTTGTGTTGGTCTTGAGTTGGAAAATTGGACAGAACGGAGATTTGTTGAGGGTTAATTTGTGTAAGTTGTAATTCTAGGATCTAAGATTTATAAAGACAAGAAAAGCTGAATTGTAGGCTTCCTACCCTGGCAACTCACAACACGCCAAAATAAAACTGTAACTTGTAGGGGATCTTAAAAACATGGAGTGTTTTGATAGTTTCTTCTCTTCTCCATACCAAAAGAGGTTTCTACAGATTATTTATAATGAGTGGACCACGCATACAAACAAACAAAAACAAATAAATATCCTGACTAAAATATTAAATGAAATCCAAACTAGATTTTCCTAAAAAGGTAAATGCAATAGAAATCATAACTAAAATGTACTAACTGAAATCCCAACTAAAATGAGAAAAAGTAGAAATTCTAACTATCTTCTCTATCCTATCTGCAGCAACTCAAATCTTCCAGGTTGTTATCATCACATTATTTGGTTCCTTTTTGCTTACACAATATATGAACCTTATAAAGTGAAGATGACAATGTTTTTTGTATGAAGCTTCTATTATACATTATTACGCTTGCTTGACCATGACGATTAAAGATGATTAAGCATGACTGTTGATTTGCGATGTTTCATTTTTGCCATATAGCTGCAGATGATTCAGATTTAGGTTAGATTCAATTAAGATCCAGATCAAAATACAATAAACTTTTCGATTTTCACTTGATTTTCCATTTTTCTTAAAGTATTTGGATTTTGTGAAACGTTGCCTATTCAAAATATTTTTCTAACTATTTTTTCATTTAATATCTTTATCCAATATCATTTTTCTTGTAATTTCAACTTATCATTTTCAATATTATTGGTACTTAGGCATTGGCATTGCACATGCATTAAGAAAAATTGATTTTTGTAAAAGATGTTAGTAGCTGCATTTCTAATTTCTTTGCAAAATATTTTTCTAACTATTTTTTCATTTAATATCTTCATCCAAGATCATTTTTCTTGTAATTTCAACTTATCATTTTCAATATTATTGGTACTTAGGCATTGGCATTGCACATGCATTAAGAAAAATTGATCCTGTAAAAGATGTTAGTAGCTGCATTTCTAATTTCTTTGCAAATATTTAACTTAGGGGTTTTTCACGCACAATGCATGAGTTTTTCTCAAAATTTTTTTTGAAGAAGGCACTCATGGGCCCCATTTTTGTTTATATTTTTTTAATGAAACGGTCGAGGCTTAATGTCCATCAGTGCAAAGCTGCAAGCCTCTGATGTTATATATAGAGATGATTTAGATGCTTTGTTCTTGCCTAATTGGAGCTAAGACTTCGATCACATGAAAAAAATTGTCAGGTCTTGATAATATGGAATCAGCTATAATTACAGTTTTCAGGTATCTGCACTGGGCTCAACATATATAAAATGTTTACTAGTATTAATTTATGTCTTAGGGTTGCTATCAGCTTAGTCTGTTTTTGTTAAGTTTGTCTTTGGAGTTTACATGTCTCTTTTTGGCGAGACTGATACTTTTCTTCAATTAGAAACGAAACTCATCCTGATTATGATATCTGATATTGGCCTATCAGGTGTTGTTTTGGTGTTAATTGCAGGTATCTGTGATACTGTGATGAAATAAATATTCGCTATAATGTAGAAGTTGCTTTCACTTTGCTATTCTATTGAAATAAATGCTTTCATCTTTTTCAGATTGAATGCATATTTATATGCTTCAACAAGGGCTTGCGAGATAAGAGAAAACCGTCCTAACTATAGAGCTGTATCAGAACATGATGGACTTTTTTGGCAGCGAGGAAATAACCAGGTAATTTAACCTCAGAGAGCATTCATATTACATTTATAATTTGTTAAATATATTTACAGTTGGTCAGATCATTCTTCTTAGTTAAAAGAGGATATGAGAATGTTTCAATCCTTGAATTACTTCATGACCTGCACAAATTGATTGCTGATCTTTCCCTTGTTCATTTAATACACCAGAGGCAGAGAAATGTGTGTGAATTGACACTTTAAAATATTTAAAAGATTGCTGATTCTTTTAGTTTTTTCTTATACGAAATGAGAAGTGTTTAGTCGCACCTTTTAGAAAAAGGCTCTAATCTTCTGTGATCATAATCCATCTAATAATGCCAAACTTAATGATCTGCCCGGTCCTTTTTGTTCTAGTTCTACGTACTTTCAAGTTCTATATATAGAACATGATGTAGTTTGAGCATTTCTTACCATGCATCTACAAACATTATTTTTTTTCACAAATATACTAAAAGATATCATGGCACATTAGTCAGATAATCTCTACTGATATTCTATTTTGTTTCTTCCATGATTTTCTTTACATGGCTGGAGATTCTAATCTACCTAGGACAAAACAGAAATAAAACTACCAGATTTCTGGATTTATCTAGCAAAAGCTAGATTAAGGTGCGAGTTTATGATGTTGGATGAGGCTGACAAATTAGTTGAAGGACTGCTTTCTCCAATTGCCTGCAGAATAGTCAGTTAAGTAGGTGTGACTTGGTCTGGGCAGGTTGAAATGCATGAATTCTCCATATTGAGCCTTCTTGTACCCCTAGTAACGAGTTTCTAGCTTTGAGTTATTTAACAAATTTGGGTAATGCAGGCTGTACGTTAGCCTCCTTAGCTCCACTGTTCAACACTAATCTTGCATGAGTAAGGCAGTTCGATCTCAACTGGTGATAGATACTTTGAATCTGATTCTATAAGCCCTTCCTTGTCATTGACTGGCCCTTTTATTTTCAAGTTAAATGATCTAGACTTTTTCATTCTATTGTTAGGTCCATGGCAAGATTAATAACTACTATACCTGGGTTTCAGGGTTAGAATTTACGGCATGTGGTTAGATAAGTTATAAAAGAGAGTCACTACTTCCTTTTTCCCCCCTTTCTTATAATCTATCTCTTTGATACAAGGGTGGGAACTTTTTTAAAAATTAGCAAGATTTGTTATGTTGAGACATTAATCTAGTATTCTAGTGATGGCAGTTAGTTCTATTGGTTCTGGACATCTTTCATGTTGAATAAATCTATACTATTATCTTGAGATCCAAATGCTTGTTAAATTTGAAGTGGACATTTTATCCTTCATTCTTTTATAGCTATCAACATGATTATTTTATCAATCTACTCCCTCCATGTCAAGTCAACCACTCTACTAAAAAATAAAACCAATAGGTTTTTGCTTTTCCCTCCAAAATGGAACTGTTTTGCAAATATAGCCAGATCTTTTGCATATAGCGTGATGCATATAATTTGGTCAATTATCGCTCATGTTGTTCACCTTGCAGGCGCCAATCGCTAATTTTTGGCTGCAAACTCGCCTTCCTATGTTGCAGGTAGGTGAACTGTGATTGTAGCTGCAAAATGTGCTCAATTGCAGTTGATTGTTTCACTGCAACTAAGGCCGAAAGCTGTGCACTCACCATGCTAACCACCTGGTAGTTCTGCTCTAGAACATGCGCTCCTCTCTTTTCTCCTCTTGTGTTATTCCTCTCTCAGCAAGTCCTGATTAATTCTACTTTTTGTTTGTCTTCCGACCCCTGCACCCTCTTCACTAGTGGTAGTATTGACAGTCCTCTCTCTTCCACACACTCCATTGGGTTCTCCTGTGACCCTGTTCTCCTCTTCTCTTTCCTCGCTCGAATCACTACCCTACCTCCTGTTTCCTCATCACTACCTTGCTGCTACTGATCTCAACTGCCTTGTCGAGATTGTCTCGCATCCTGACTCATTATATGTTGGTTACTGTTAGTCTTTACCTTCCCTTCAGTAAAATTTAGGATTTTCTGGAACTTTCAGTGTTTGTCTGTTTGACTGAAGGTGTAGTGTTAGTATTATCTTTTTTAAAGTTAGTTTGTTTGAAGAGTTCAGCTGTATTGAGATATATTTGTGTGAGCTTTGTAATTAATTATTAAATTTTGTGAGTTTGGTGTCTTTGGAAACTTTTTTATGTTTAGTTTATTTTGTCTATTTTTAAATTAATATTAATTGTATTAGACTAATAGTAATATAAATATATAAATAATATATGATTTTTATAAAATAATGAAAATTCCACGATATTAATAATATATTTTCTAGCTATACATATAATCTGTAATATCTTGCTCTCTCTTTCATTCAAATTAAATTTAGTTATTATATCTATTAGTACTATCTAGAATTTGTTAACCAATTAGTTAATATTTATATAAAGTTCCAGGTCATCATGAATTCTACCTAATCTTCTCTCTCTTTCACCTTCCAATACTTGTCTGTTTCCGATTTCCTATATTCTAATTATAGAACCCTCTTTCAATCTCATCCAGTTTCCATCATCGGATTCTGGTGCATGCTCAATCCTGACTGCCAAAACTATAGACCAAAGAAATAAAGGAAGATTAACAATGACTAATTAGTTCAATGATCATGATTTTTTTGCTCTTCTGATACATTTTTCCTTATTAGACGAGTTTATTGACTTAAACCTTCAAGTTATAGATGTTATTAATTGTTTGATGAGAACATAAAACTTAGTTTTGAGCTGTAATGTTGCATTCCATTTGTTTGGATAAGTAACACATCTGAAACTTGCTTTTATAGATAATTAAGGATGTTGCTTCTATCACTGTAGTCTTTAAATTTATTTTCCCCGAACTGAATGTACAATACGTACCTTTATGTGCACACGAGCACATGATGCATATGCATAATTGTCAAAATAAATCAAGGCAAATGCTTCCAGTTTGTACAAACAAGTATATACGTCGTCCACTCAGGCCTACCTCTTGTATACTGTCTACAGGAAAAGTATATACGTCGTCCACGTCTTCATAATGTGGGCCAAAGGCTGCCAAATATTTGGTAACACTTAACTGTCAAGCAATAGAGAGCTGAATAGTGTGTACAAACAAGTTTCTCCAGTTTCATGTAAGTTGTTCAAGACCACCTCACTTGACCCCGAGTGTTACAATAGAATCATAATTAAGTCCTCCAAGTTATGAAGGTAAAGAGTTGGAGGAGTAATTTAGGATAACTGCAACCCAGCACATGTGACATTCTAAAGTCTAGCAAAACTATGGCTGAGCTTGGGTTCAGATTTCACCTATTTTAGCCCAACTCAACCTTTCTTTTGGGTTACATCATGTCGACTTTAGTCAGTTTAGTTAAATTAAAAACTGTAGAGTAGCTAAATTTCCATATTAAGCTTAAAATTAGAAAACTGGATTAATTTTAAGTTAAGTATGCGTATAACATAATGATGGTGAAAGGAGTAATGTCATATTAAAATTCTTATTCCCTTCTTTATGCTTCTTTGAAAGATATATATTGACTAATATCAGTTTAGTGGTAATATGTGTATTGCTACTCAACTTGTCTATATGCTCATTTTTTATCTACATTTTCAAGGATTCGGGCAAAGCCAAAACGAGGGAGGAGCTATTAGCTGAGGAAAGGGATTATAAACGGAGGAGAACATCATACCGCGGGAAGAAAGTGAAGCGAAACGCAACAGAGGTTTGTAAACTGTCTTAACGAGATCTATGATAGTGTGGTTATCTTTTTCCCCAGCATGTACTCTTTTTTGGTGGGAAAGAACGACGATTACCTTCCCTTATCTCTCTCTCTATCTATCTATATACTAATATATATATATATATATATAATACATATATATAATATATATAATATATATATATATATATAAATATATAGTATATATATAAAAATATCGATAGCAGAGAGAGAGCAGAGAGGAGAGGAGAGAGAGTGAGAGAGAGAGAGAGAGAAGAAGAGCAGAGAGAGGAGAGAGAAGCAGGGAGGTGTATCTCATGCCAACACGAATTACACACATGCCAACACCGATCTCAAAGCAAAATGAATGGATAATAAGTTGGATGGACAACTTCTCTTATCTACTTAACTGGATTCTAGCTCAACTACATGCATGAACGCACACGTAAGCAAAATGAATGAATAATAAGTTGGCTGGACCACTTCTCTTATCCACTTAAGTGGCTAGCTCAATTACACGGACACATGCGTGGGGTTTAGTAGTTGTAAAGGTGCAGCTCATTTTGTTACATGAGCTGTCAGTTCATACCCATTCCCCCATTTATATAAGTTTACACTACTATATAAGATAAAGCCCTGGACACAAGTTCTTGCTCATCATCTGCTGTTCATGCATGAAAATAGATTGAATTTATCATAAATTCCCAATGTAACATTTCAATTTTATCAAAGTTCAAATTTGTATACTTCCCTTTCAATTAATTCGATTAAGTGAAATTTATATGTTCGTTTCAATATTTTTTATTCATATATCATAATGTATAATCATCTTCGTCATATATACTATCGGTATCATTTTAAATCATTTGTTCTGAAGGTCTTGCGGGACATAATTGAAGAGCACATGGAGGAGATCATGCAGGCAGGTGGGATTGGATATGATGTGAAAGATACTGGAGAACTTGCTGCTTTCTCTATTGATCGGAGCCCAGATGTTATAAATGCACGTATTCATGAGTTTCAGCACGGGAGATATGAGGCATCTGAAAGAAAACTAGCCTCACCTGGTTATGATAGACCACTTCTTTATAATAATGATAGATCAAAAGTAATTAATGTTCTGCAAAACTCTAGAAAAGAACAGAGGCATGATTATCGTGAGCATCAAGAGGGGCACTGGAGAAGGAAGCATAAAAAAGAAAAGAATTATTGGTCCGAAAACCCCACAATTGCCCAAAAACGGACTGACTTACGTGACCAATTCACACACCTAGGTGAGCAAGGTGATACGAGAGCACATGACTCTTAAGTTTCAGAGCAAATTTTCTGCTGGTACTCCAAGATACAATGATAACATTGATACATCAATGTCGAAGTCTAGGCTTGTTATTACAAATCCAGGACCTAAGCATATGTCAGAAGCTATAAGTATAAATAGAGGCAAAACTGAGAGCTTAAGGTCGAAGTCTCTCATGATAACGGGATTCAAGGACAGATATGACCCCTCAGCTTCATATGATGAATATGATTGATTCCAATGATGATATTTCTCAGAAAAGCACTCTCTCTTTTGAAAACTGTCATATTCTAAAACACAATGTCCAAGTATGATAAGTTTTGGAGACATGAACATGCAATAGTTGCGATCGTCACACTGAATAACATAGCAGTTATTTATCTGGTACGTATTTAGTGTATTTATTTTCTTTGATTGGGTCACTATGTTGTATTTTCAGTGAAGTTCCACCTTTTCCTCCATTTATTTGTATGCTTGTGCTTGACTTCTATGTGCAGTAATGACTAGTTCAAGCTTGAGAACTTTATCAATGCAACTGTATCCTCCGCTGTATCCTCAAACTGGCCATGGTTTCATTTAATACAGTCCTTACTTAGTTTTTCATATGCTAGAGTTTACTTAGTTTTTCATATACTAGAGTTTACACTGTTCCATCTGAATGCTGTCTTTTGCCTTAACTTTGGTAAATATGCAATCCATCTTTTTGATCTTTTATTACGCTACTGCATTTACTTGTCTCAGATGTTTTTCATGCTACATTTTAGTTATAAGATGTTTTTCTCTTTAAATGGAGCTAGCATAACTTACCACTCTTCATTTTTGTTTGAGCCAATGAAGTTTATTTTCAGATTTACTTTGAAAATCCATTCCGAAAATTTCTCCTCCTGAAAATCCATTCTGTTTTTGTTGTTTGCCTATTTTTTCTTGGTGATTGCTTGATCCGAGCCGAGACATGAGGTTAGAAGACTTTTTAGTACAGAAACTAGAAGGGGAGTACTATTGTTTAGGCATGGACAGATCTGAACCTATAGTATTGTTTGCTTCGTTCTTATGCCTGACTTTCATGATGATATTATTACTGCAATATTTAGTTGATATGATTGGCTGTCATATCATCAAAATTTATTTGTTAGTTTAGTAATCAAATGCTGCAGCCATGCTGGCCCATTTTATCATTGTTTCACTTAGTAGATATAACAATTTGGGGCTTTAAAACAGACAGTAGGAAAGACAGTCTCCAATTGTTTTGTGGATGCAGGAGATTATAAGGGAATCATTGCTCATAATATCATCGAGCCAAGGCTTTTCTCACCAAAACTGTGTAGGTTATGCATCTTGAATCAAAGTCAAGTGACCTGCAAGGACTGAAAGTTTTTACCATCGCAAGAAACCTGATTTCAATCCAATGTGAGTAGTGACATCTTTTTGTAATTAGAATTGGTAATAGTTCATGCATAATGCAATAACTGTTTTAAGTTTTGTGATCTTAAGTGTAAGGCACATGAAAACATAGTCAGCCCTGCTCACCTAAGAGAGTGATTATAAACTTATACATCCTCATTCTACATTTGACACAAAATGCATTTATTCATGCCATGTAGTTGCTAGAGAATTAGTTCATCTTTGCATGCAATTCGATACAGAGTGGTAGTGATCTGTAAACCTGGAGGTGTAAACATCTCGGAAGAAAGCAGAAATCTAGGTCCTTGGTATACTACACTTGATAACCATTGCCAAAATGTCTTACTTCTATCTAGTACCCTAGCCACACTTATCTAGTTCCCTTTTCAAACATCTAGCCAATGGTTCCAGCAATTGATCATAGAAGGATTTCATATTAGATGTAATCACTTTTACGTCGGGGGTAAAAATGAAAAATCTCATGCAAACATAGTTCCTTAGAATCGCCATGTCCAGTAAGCCGCTCTGAGGCACTGCTGCCGACTAAACATTTTTTTGGTATGAGTGCATTTCCTATATTTATATGAAAAAGGTTTCTTGTATGGCAACTCTTGGACAACTTTTGAGTGTTGGTTTATAGAAGAAATTGAACTTAACTAGGCATGTTTTGAGCCCCATACAGAAAGACAATGAAGTTTGAACTAAAAGGCTCTATTCAGAAGTATAGACTGAAGGATTTCGATTGAGAAGACTTTCTTAGGTCATTCCCTCTTGTTGCTTAGATACGAGCATAATTTTTCTTCCTACTTACTAATTGGGATGACCAGTCCGCCATGGCAGATGGTCCCTATCAACATGTCATAACTCATATATGGATGATACATTGTGTTTTTTCAGAAGATTCTACTCCATGCATTAAATGAGCCGTTCTATTCTATAATTGGAGTGCTATTTGTTTGTAACAATTACATGATTGGATTACAAAACTCAGAATACAGATTATAATGTATAAGATCAAAATGAAAGATATGGTTTACTAGTTAGGCTGGGTTACATTGTACTGATGAACATTTTCCAGCATTTATGTTCCTACAATGATTTGGAACTTGCATAATGACTGCTTATTTTCTTGCATTACATTAATACACCAGGAAAACTTAAAAAATGAATTTGTGCAGTCTCTTTGGGCGTGAATTATGAGTTAGGTTGGTTAAGGGTAGGGCAAAAAATAAATTGAATCGAAGGTTAAGGTGTTTAAAGTCTTTGAATTCAAATCCAACTTTCTTCTGTGGTTTTCTTTGATTCTGAATTCATATGTGAATATCCTTTGAAAATTTTGAGTATTAGATATATTATTTTATTGGATATTCTAGATTTTATGAACATAAATGATCAAAGAAGATTTTATTTTATTTGGTTTGAAAGATAGTTCCATTTAACTAAAGAATTTGGTTCTTTTGATAGCATTTAAATACATAACTATAATTTTTGGGTAATTTCACAAGAACCTCCAAAACTTGGGGCATTTTCTACGAAAACCCCCTGGACATTGTTAATTCACTAATCCCTCCAAGTTGACACGATTATCTTGAATGTGGCATGTCGTGCCTCGTGAGCCTGTTGGTGCGATGTAAGTCCTGGTGTCCATGGAGTACAACACATGATTTGACTCAATCCACTGTTAATATTGACTAGTCAATATTGCATTTGACTCATCGGACTTATATTATAAATCATTCAATCACCCAATCAATCTTTGATGTGGGACTAAATCTTGGGAATTACAATCACCTCACCTTAATTACGTGACGTCTTTGTCGCGGCATGACAATCGGTCCATCTCATTATTACCATTAGGCGATGTGGACTTTAGAGGTGACTCCTACGGGCTTCAAGAGGTTGCTCCTACTGTACTTACGTGGTGTAGTACTTAGTCCCGCATAACACTTAGCTTCATATTTCCGACTAGTAACCATGGATTACACCGTGCCAACGAGCTCACGGGTTCGGGGTGTGATATGGCACCCGATCATGTGACCAAAAATGATTAAAATCTCTCCCTTCCTCCCTTCTCCCTTAGCCCCAATTCCATCAACATCTATTGGTGGCAGAGGTTGCTGGCAGTGGTCTCTCCCCCTCCTCTCTTTCTCTCTTGTCTCTCTTCACAGTCTCTTTGGGTGTGGATTATGAGTTAGGTTGGTTAAGGGTAGGGCAAAAAAAAAAAAAAACCCTAAGGTCTATATTTAAAGGAACAAATTTTCGAATTAAACCCATTTAATTTTTTATTATAAAATTCGACTCATTCAGGTTTTTATTAGTAAAACCAACCCATTTCGTGCCACGTCAGCAGCGTGGCCACGAAATGGGTCTTTTTTTTTAAATGATGTCGCTAAATAGTCGGGGTTGCCAACCCCGACTATTTAGCTATGGACAAGCTAAAATAGTCGGGGTTTTCAATCCCGACTAATTTAGGCCCTTCTCTAATTGGTCGGCGTTGGCAACCCCGACCATTTGGCAGAGAGGTAGCTGATGTTTATTTTGCTACGACAAAATGGTCGGGTTTGGGAACCCCGATCGTTTCGTGTTCGTGCACAAAATGGTCGGGGTTCCCAACCCCGACCATTTGGCAGACTCTTTCAGCTGGAAATAGCTGGAAATACGAACTCCGCTGGAAATTCAAACTCCTGCTGTTACATATCAATCCACAATGCAATCACAATCATAATAACACACATACCAATAAATAATCTCAAATAAAAATCCATAATCAATCGGATACATACCATGCAATTCACATACTAATAATCAATACTAAATCGAATACATAATATTTAGTTTCAAACGCAAACATCCTATCAATACTCAATCAGATGCATAATATTCAGTTTCAATCGGATACAACTCCCTTTCCTCTCCCTCTCCCCCTCCCCCTGACACGTTCACCTTCGACGTGAGCTCGGGTCAGTTCCTCGTCCGGTTGTGTGTGAAGTTGGGAGTGCATGACATCCTCATCGATTCGAACCGACTGTGAACATCCGGCTTGGGCCTGCTGTGAGCCGCCAGCTTCATCATGTGCACAGCTTGAGCCTGCCCCTGTGTCCTCGGAATCGACGACGACCGTACTCAATTGGTCGCTCCTCACGTCCATCTCGTCTTGCATTACGCGTCCTTTGAAGAGCGGACCGAATCTTTTTGATCATGCGAAGGAACGTGTTCCTCGGCCCTGGCTCGGTAGTCGTTCGGATTGCATCATGCGCCATAGTAGAAAGTTCTTCGAGCTCTTGTACCTATACGATAAAAACCCCAAGAAAGCTATTATGATTTGGATGATAATAAAATAAAACTCACAAGATAAGTGTATATTTTGCTTATACACTTACCAACTCTCTCTTAACTGGGCCTCTTGGTATGTATTCCTTAGGGGCTTTGTTCTCCTGAAATATCCACCGGCGAGTAATCCCCCAATACCACCGCAAATACACACCTAGGTCAGGTGCGTCAACCCTCTCCATCACCAACTGTTCTTCCCTGTTATCCCACCTCCTGATGTAAGCACTGTGAATATGTTCCCAATCTTGACGATGTGCACCTTTTCTGGGATTTCTCTCTATTATCTCCACAGGGCCCGGGATATGTTGTTGTAGCCCAAATAGTCGGAGCACACGGTCGGACACGTGGATCTCGACAATCTCAAAACATATGATCGGGACGCGAGCACGCCACACATCCGGCTCTTCTGTGCATATATCTGGTAGTGACTCTAAAACTTGTTCATATGGCATCCAGTTGACCTGTAAAAAGATAAAGTAAAGCAGATTTCGGTAATAAATGTAATGATTGAAATTTTTTAGATATTATGATTTAATACATGTTCGTCCTCCATTTGATCGAGTTCGTTCCTATAGAAGTTTTCATGGCCCTTTGGTGAGGTATGCCAAGATCTAGATACATTCCATCTAATTTATATACAATGAGTTAGTATAAATTGAAATAAATGTATAAAATTACATGTAATCATATATTTTTCAAAATAACTTATTAATACCTGCAGCCTAACGGAATATGGTCATCGAGAGCACGTGCCTCTCTCAAATCTGGGCAACCCAAATGCAATCTTTCCCAAGACCATATCTGTAGCAGAGTGAGACAACCATTGAATTCTTTGTTTTGAACAAGAGTCACTTTGGTCATCTCCCTATACAGATACGCTAACACGGCACTCCCCCATGACAATCCCTCACAATCCACAAGATCCTCCAGGAGTGGCAACCACCTCACGTGCACCGAATCCTTCGTGGAATCCGGGAATAGAATAGTACCGATCATGTGAAGTATGTATGCACGGGCATACATCTTGACGATCTCCTCGGTCGCATCTATCGGAACATTCATAAAACTGTTTCTCAACCGTTCAAGTTTGATCCTTCCACCCCTCATGTGAGGAACTTGACCCAACAATGCTCCACACTTGTCTGACTAGTTGAAGTCGCCACTACCTGTGACAACATCTCCATCCACTCGTGGAGTCCAAGTAAAACCCCAACATCCTGCAATGTAATCGTCGACTCTCCTTGGCGCAGGTGGAATGTGTTTGTCTCGGGCCTCCATCGTTCAACCAGTGCCGTCAAGAGAGCCCAATCAAGTCTCACCTATTTAATTTGTGAGCACTCAAAGAAGCATGCTTGACGGACATAATATTGTCAAAGAAGCATGCTTGACGGACATAATATTGGACATGTGGATCGGTCAACTCCCAGCTCGAGTGTGCATGAGTGATCAACGATAGTAATGCTCGGGGCCTGCATATAATAAACAGTGCAAATGTTCAGTAACAACCAATAACTTAGAATAATCCTTGAATAAAAATGTAATTTATAACTATCAATCTAATTACCTCCCCAGTGTCAATCTTCGCGGATCGATGTCGAGGTTGGTCATAAAGGACCTCATACGTCAATGGCCCCGCCTCCATATCTGCACATATGATGATATAAATGAAGCACATATGATGATATAATGAAGTAGAATATAATGAAGCATAAACGAAGTAGAATAATTATCAAAGAATAGAATAATTATACCAATTAATTGCTATTTATTTGGATTGGTGGGACAATGAGATCTCCTGTGGCCCGGTTGTCTACAATATCCACATCTATTTGTTTTTGGAACTCCTTCCCGACCTCCATCAATTGTAGACTTTATGCGTGTTGATCTCGGGCGTCCGACTTGCCTCTTAAATTTAGGAGGTAACACATGCAGCCCGTTATAGGGTGGCCAGTAACGACTATCTACAATGGGATAAAAAAACTGACTGTATGAATCTATATAGTGGCTTGATTAGTACCACTCAGAAGCGTATGTGTAATACGATGTATTTGCACCCCCAAATTGCTTGGTCGTAACCGTTATAACATGTGCACATGGTAATTTTTGCAATTCTGGAATATTACATGTGCATGCGCATTGTGTCCCTCGTAGATTGACGGTGTAATTATGACCGTGATTGTCTGTAACCTCCCATTCATCTATAACAAATCTCACAATCTTAGTTAATCTGGCCTGCTTGACACGAGCTCCTATAATCTCTTTATTTTTTGGGGTCAACAACGCCCCCCACTTCGCTCCATCCTCTCGCCGCTTGATAAAATACTTATTTAGTCTATAAAATGCCCTCGCAACCAACGCCTGTATGGGCATTGCTCGAGCCCTCTTAAGTACACCATTGAAGTTTTCAGAACAATTAGTTGTCATCATGCAATAGCGATTCCCTCCATCTTTACTTAGTGCCCACCGGTCGACGTAATCGCTTACCAATCTACTCTCAATCCAATCATGTGCAGTTGGAGATGTTGCCTTGATTTGATCCCGTATCCGATCATACACACACGTTTCGGGTGTAACACCCGCTTGCCAAAGAAGGTTTTGTAGATGTACTTGACTAAAGCTCTTTTTAAAATTAGTTCTTAATGTGTCGTAAGCAATAGCGGTGATTGTGTTCAGAGCCAAATCTCTTGTACAATGTTCTTGGAATACCTTTCATCCTATCGGATATAAAAATAATTTTTCTAGGAGGCAACACATTAAAAATATATAATTGGATGCAAGAAAAAAATCACTCCCAATTTTCACTGTTCTCGACCTCTACAACTGCGAAGCCCAAAGAAAATAAGCCCTCATCTGCATCTACTCCTGTAGCGACAAGCAATACACCCTTATATTTATCGTATAAGTGTGTCCCATCAATGCTAAGGATCAACCGACAAAATTTAAATCCCTCGATCGAAGGACCAAATACCCAAAATACAGAGGTGCATTTATGAACTCCCGGATTGACCTATTTGGTTATGAGTTTGTATTTAGATCCAAGATTGCTTCTTTTGATCGCATCAAAATATTGAGGCAGAGTCGCGTAAGACTTCTTCTAATCACCAAATATTTTTGTCATCGCAATTCTCCTTGCATTCCACGTTTTGATATACGATATTTGAGAGAGTGTCACATGATAAGTGGATTGAAATATCGTATATCAAAGCGTGGAATGCAAGGAGAATTACGATGACAAAAATATTTGGTGATTGAGAGAAGTCTTACGCGACTCTGCCTCAATATCTTGATGCGATCAAAAAAGCAATCCTGGATCTGAATACAAACTCATAACCAAAGAGGTCAATCCGGGAGTTCATAAATTCACCTCTGTATTTTGGGTATTTGGTCCTTCGATCGAGGAATTTAAATTTTGTCGGCCGATCCTTAGCATTGATGGGACACACTTATACGGTAAATATAAGGGTGCATTGCTTGTCGCTACAAGAGTAGATGCAGATGAGGGCTTATTTTCTTTGGCCTTCGCAGTTGTAGAGGTCGAGAACAGCGAAAATTGGGAGTGGTTTTTTTCTTGCATCCAATTATATATTTTTAATGTATTGCCTCCTAGAAAAATTACTTTTATATCCGATAGGATGAAAGATATTCCAAGAGCATTGTACAGGAGATTTGGCTCTGATCACAATCACCGCTATTGCTTCCGACACATTAGAGCTAATTTAAAAAGAGCTTTGGTCAAGTACATCTACAAAACCTTCTTTGGCAAGCGGGTGTTACACCCGAAACGTGTGTGTATGATCGGATACGGGATCAAATCAAGGCAACATCTCCAGCTGCACATGATTGGATTGAGAGTAGTTTGGAAAGCGATTACGTCGACCGGTGGGCACTAAGTAAAGATGGAGGGAATCACTATTGCATGATGACAACTAATTGTTCTGAAAGCTTCAATGGTGTACTTAAGGGGGCTCGAGCAATGCCCATACAGGCGTTGGTTGCGAGGATATTTATAGACTAAATAAGTATTTTGTCAATCGGCGAGAGGATGGAGCGAAGTGGGGGACGTTGTTGACCCCAAAAAATAAAGAAATTATAGGAGCTCGTGTTAAGCAAGCTAAATTGACTAAGATTGTGAGATTTGCTATAGATGAATGAGAGGTTACAGACAATCACGGTCATAATTACATCGTCAATCTACGAGGGACACAATGCGCATGCACATGTAATATTCCAGAATTGCAAAAATTACCATGTGCACATGTTATAGCGGTTACGACCAAGCAATTTGGGGGTGCAAATACATCGTATTACACATACGCTTCTGAGGGGTACTAATCAAGCCACTATATAGATTCATACAGTCAGTTTTTTTATCCCATTGTAGATAGTCGTTACTGGCCACCCTATAACGGGCCGCATGTGTTACCTCCTGAATTTAAGAGGCAAGCCGGACGCCCGAGATCAACACGCATAAAGTCTACAATTGATGGAGGTCGGGAAGGAGTTCCAAAAACAAATAGATGTGGATATTGTAGACAACCGGGCCACATGAGATCTCATTGTCCCACCAATCCAAATAAATAGCAATTAATGGGTATAATTATTCTATTCTTTGATAATTATTCTACTTCGTTTATACTTTCATTATATTCTACTTCATTATATCATCATATGTGTTTCATTTATATCATCATATGTGCAGATATGGAGGCGGGGCCATTGACGTATGAGGTCCTTTATGACCAACCTCGACATCGATCCGCGAAGATTGACACTGGGGAGGTAATTAGATTGGTAGTTATAAATTACATTTTCATTCAAGGATTATTCTAAGTTATTGGTTGTTACTGAACATTTGCACTGTTTATTATATGTAGGCCCCGAGCATTACTATCGTTGATCACACTCGTGCACGCTCGAGCTAAGAGTTGACCGATCCACATGTCCAATATTATGTCCGTCAAGCATGCTTCTTTGAGTGCTCACAAATTAAATGGGTGAGACTTGATTAGGCTCTCTTGACGACACTGGTTGAACGATGGAGGCCCGAGACAAACACATTCCACCTGCGCCAAGGAGAGTCGACGATTACATTGCAGGATGTTGGGGTTTTGCTTGGACTCCGAGTGGATGGAGATGCTGTCACAGGTAGTGGCGACTTCAACTGGTCAGACAAGTGTGGAGCATTGTTGGGTCAAGTTCCTCACATGAGGGGTGGAAGGATCAAACTTGAATGGTTGAGAAACAGTTTTATGAATGTTCCTATAGATACGACTGAGGAGATCGTCAAGATGTATGCCCGTGCATACATACTTCACATGATCGGTACTATTCTATTCTCGGATTCCACGAAGGATTCGGTGCACGTGAGGTGGTTGCCACTCCTGGAGGATCTTGTGGATTGTGAGGGATTGTCATGGGGGAGTGCCGTGTTAGCGTATCTGTATAGGGAGATGAAGGATCTTGTGGATTGTGAGGGATTGTCATGGGGGAGTGCCGTGTTAGCGTATCTGTATAGGGAGATGATCAAAGTGGCTCTTGTTCAAAACAAAGAATTCAATGGTTGTCTCACTCTGCTACAGATATGGTCTTGGGAAAGATTGCATTTGGGTTGCCCAGATTTGAGAGAGGCACGTGCTCTCGATGACCATATTCCGTTAGGCTGCAGGTATTAATAAGTTATTTTGAAAAATATATGATTACATGTAATTTTATACATTTATTTCAATTTATACTAACTCATTGTATATAAATTAGATGGAATGTATCTAGATCTTGGCATACCTCACCAAAGGGCCATGAAAACTTCTATAGGAACGAACTCGATCAAATGGAGGACGAACATGTATTAAATCATAATATCTAAAAAATTTCAATCATTACATCATTTATTACCGAAATCTGCTTTACTTTATCTTTTTACAGGTCAACTGGAAGCCATATGAACAAGTTTTAGAGTCACTACCAGATATATGCACAGAAGAGCCGGATGTGTGGCGTGCTCGCGTCCCGATCATATGTTTTGAGATTGTCGAGATCCACGTGTCCGACCGTGTGCTCCGACTATTTGGGCTACAACAACATATCCCGGGCCCTGTGGAGATAATAGAGAGAAATCCCAGAAAAGGTGCACATCGTCAAGATTGGGAACATATTCACAGTGCTTACATCAGGAGGTGGGATAACAGGGAAGAACAGTTGGTGATGGAGAGGGTTGACGCACCTGACCTAGGTGTGTATTTGCGGTGGTATTGGGGGATTACTCGCCGGTGGATATTTCAGGAGAACAAAGCCCCTAAGGAATACATACCAAGAGGCCCAGTTGAGAGAGAGTTGGTAAGTGTATAAGCAAAATATACAGTTATCTTGTGAGTTTTATTTTATTATCATCCAAATCATAATAGCTTTCTTGGGGTTTTTATCGTATAGGTACAAGAGCTCGAAGAACTTTCTACTATGGCGCATGATGCAATCCGAACGACTACCGAGCCAGGGCCGAGGAACACGTTCCTTCGCATGATCAAAAAGATTCGGTCCGCTCTTCAAAGGACGCGTAATGCAAGACGAGATGAACGTGAGGAGCGAGACCAATTGAGTACGATCGTCGTCGATTCCGAGGACACAGGGGCAGGCTCAAGCGGTGCACATGATGAAGCTGACGGCTCACAGCAGGCCCAAGTCGGATGTTCACAGTCGGTTCGAGTCGATGAGGATGTCATGCACTCCCAACTTCACACACAACCGGACGACACAGTCGGTTCGAGTCGATGAGGATGTCATGCACTCCCAACTTCACACACAACCGGACGAGGAACTGACCCGAGCTTACGTCGAAGGTGAATGTGTCAGGGGGAGGGGGAGAGGGAGAGGGAAGGGAGTTGTATCCGATTGAAATTGAATATTATGCATCTGATTGAGTATTTGATAGGATGTTTGCGTTTGAAACTAAATATTATGTATGTGAATTGCATGGTATGTATCCGATTGATTATGGATTTTTATTTGAGATTATTGATTGGTATGTGTGTTATTGTGATTGTGATTGCATTGTGGATTGATATGTAACAGCAGGAGTTTGAATTTCCAGCGGAGTTCGTATTTCCAGTTATTTCTAGTTGAAAGTCTGCCAAATGGTTGGGGTTGGGAACCCCGACCATTTTGTGCACGAACACGAAACGGTCGGGGTTTCCAAACCCGACCATTTTGTCGTAGCAAAATAAACATCAGCTACCTCTCTGCCAAATGGTCGGGGTTGCCAACCCCGACATAACTAAATAGTCGGGGTTGGCAACCCCGACTATTTAGCGACATTATTTAAAAAAAACCGACCCATTTCGTGGCCACGCTGCTGACAAGGCACGAAATGGGTCGGTTTTGCTAATAAAAACTTGAATGAGTCGAATTTTATAATAAAAAAAATAAATGGGTTTAATTCGAAAATTTGTTCTCCCTATGACATTTATATGTTTCTTTTATTATGTGGATTATAAATTGGAAAGCCGCTTGTTTTTGAACTAGACACCCACACCACCATTTAAAATTATAGTTCTGAACCCGTGAGTTTCAGGATGTGTGAATGAAGTGTAGGATCATCCGATCAGTGTATGATAACTGTTTTCAATTAAATCATGTATTTCATAATTGAGCACATGTCCAAGGTTAAGTGTATGCATATGTGCAAGGAGTATCTAAGGAGTTTGGGTATGCGGTCGGGGACGAATATGTGTATGGCTTCAAATAGAATTATGCAGGTAACATAGCCCTTACGTAATCCATCACCAGCATCCCCACTTCCCCTCTAACTAGGTCTAGAAATTTAAATAATGATTAATTTAATATAATTTAATAATTAGTGTTTAATGTTAAGGGGTATTTTTTTTGTTTATCTTTTTACAACCACACTTAAGACTGTTAGGGTCATTGGGAAAATTAGACAGTTCATGAGTGGTTTTGTGAGACACCCCAAAGTTCAAGGGGTTTAGTGGAATAAGCAAACTTAGAGATGTTTCATGGGACACACCCAAAGAGTTTGGGGATTTTTGTGAAATTTACCTGAATTATTAATTTATAATGGTGTTGTGTAAATCTGCATTTTGAATATTCAGTGAAAAATCTTTCCTGAGAATTAAGTTTTTCAAAATAAACGAAGAATGTGGACTGAACATATTAGAAGACTAAAAATTTTAGAATTAAGTATCTCAGTTTGGGGTGTTGTTGATTTGGTACTATCGGATTTGAATATTCGGTGTCATTGATCGCCTAGGACTGATATATGATCAGGGCTACAAAAATTAATCTCATATATATCCTATTGAGTGAAATCCAAAAAGAAATAACTAGATTGATTGTTCATATTCCTCAAGAACCCCGGGATTTCCTTATTTCCCCTCCGTTCCAGTTTCCTGACCTCTTACAAGTTACAACTGGACTAGAGACCATAAGTGGCAAGTCAACATTGCTTCAGCAGCAGAGCACCTCCTTGAGTTAAATGTTGATTACAGCTTCTGAATTTATTCTTTATAGTTGATTTGATGAGTGTTGCACTCAAATGGATGCTTTAGCATTTTTAAGAATCCCTCAGGACAGATATTTCAATCTTGTATTAATTTCTTCATGAGGGGCTTCATCGTTATTTCTAAAAGTTTCACGGAAGCAAGACATGTAATTATCCAAACTTTTACATACTTCTGGAATAGAGAAGTTAAATGGCTAGGATTCTTTAGTAATTAACAAAAAACTTCAAAATAAATATTTATTTATTAATAACAATTGTATTCTTAAATATTATTTTGTTTAATGATTTGACTATATGATGATAAAACTATCTACATCCTAGTCTAATCCAAAAGCATCCTAGTTGAAGTTGTAATCGTGGGGTTAGTCTCATTTCTCAATTCTAGACTTCTTACAGAATTAACCTAGTCCTACGCAACAATTTTGAACCAGCACCATCTCTTCTTCTTTCTATCTTCTTATTTTACAGAACTTGTATCCACTTCTTTTTTCTCGTTAAGTATTTTTTTGTTTCCTTCATGTATGTGCATACTCCAGTCATGGTGACTTGGCTTCTTTATTTTCTTGTACATCTAGGTAGTTGAACAACTAACTAGTAGGAGTCAGCTGCAACTGATTTATTGACTATTTCACATGGTAATTTTGTGACAAAACCTAGGTGAAGCAAATTTTTTTTAATCACTAAAATTGCTTTGCCACGGATTAGACTAGGATTTCGATAAATTTCTGTAATGGGTTACACTAGGATTTAAATAAACAGTGAGAGTACAGTTTTAATAATCACAGAAATTGCCCTACTGTCATGATTAAATGCTTCTTTATCCTGTTTTTCTATTTCTCTGGCAGATTCTTTATACATAAATCTGTATTTCTGCTGCAATTTTCTGTGAGCTCTCTCCCATGGATGCTACTTCACCAGCAAGATTAGGCGGAAATATTGGATAAGGTCCATAAGCGTACCATGATCAGTTGATTTGCATGATCTTGGTCACCATCCTCGCAGTCATCATCATCTGCAATATCATCTAAGCCTTTGGTCATCTAGTAGGTGGGCTATTGCGTAGAAGGCTTCAGGAAGAATTTCACAACTAGAATTAACATGATATCAACCCTCCAAATCAATGAGAAACTATCACCGTAGAGGGTCTTACCATAAATCCAAGAAGGCTAATTGGAAGGTAGGATGATCTACCTCACTAGCCATACAGGTTAAGTTTGTGCAACTTAGGAGCAAACTGCACCTCGACTAGAACATTTTCTTTGAAGAAGGGAAACATGTATATTTATTTTAATGAATTACATTCAAATCTGAGGTGTAGATTAAGCCAAAGATCCAAATAGAATACATTACCAGCCTGAATGATCTTCTCCATCTGCTAAACATGGCTTCTTACGACCCTTGCACCTTTTAAACAGTGTTAGATTTTATCAACTTGAATAAGAAAAGAGAATAAATTTGGAGAAAGGAAATTAATCGAGGTAGTTTTTGTTTCGATGATTTTACCTGTAACTTGTTTATTTTAGTAATTTCTTCATTTTACATCTTGCAGGTAGCAGGTGAAATCAAACTTTTATTAATTTCTTAACTTAGTGAACGAAACCTGTAATAGCTGGTCTAGTCCCCCCAAGACATATAACGTCTGCGATGTACATGATTCTGGTTTAAAGTAGTTTTCTTTTTGTTGCTATTTAAGGCCTGCATTTGCAAAAAGATTTCTTTCCATCGTATGATAATTCTCTAAAATGATTTCCAGCAGCTTCAGTTGATGTTTTCTTCAGTTTCTTTTGCTGTTTTTCTATTTACTAGCAGGTGATTATTTTTTGTTAGTTCCTAATGTACACACACACTTTGTATAGATTCTTCTCGTGTGTAAGTAGTACAATTTCAAAAGACTTCCGACTGTCTCGTGATGGTTCTGCAAATTTTTTTTGCCAGATCTATATATGAATGCCGTGAAATGACAAATGTGTTTGAAGTTGGGTTCTGAGGAACTTTATAATAAATTTGGTTCCCGTATGAAGTGAATAATTGTTAAAATAAAGGTCATGATATGCCAAGGGTCTCTTATGATGAAGCTTATATTAATTTGTGTTACTTGAAATTTCTATATCTAAGAGAATTTTTGAGGGAGGGCTTAAGTTAACGTTTGGGGTTTGGCTTCTCAATTATCTTATTAATTAAAAAAGATAGCGTTTGGAGAGTACGGATTTTAAGCCGGGAGATCCTCCTGTCTTCGTATTTTCAGTTGGTTTGGTTGCTGCCGCTCCACGAGCATGATTTGACGGAAATGAGCTTGCGGGGTTTTAAAGAGGATTTTTTGATGGTGAAGTTATTACACTTCGGAAACATTTAGAACTTTTAGTTTGTGGAGCTATCTACTTAACTAAATCTTTGGTTATGTTGGTAGAAGGATATGGAAAAATTCAGCACGGATGATTTCTTGCCAAATAGGCATAAAAAGCGGGAACGCATGCTTGTTTTAGCCACTCATAGCGACTGAAAAATGCTTTGATGGTGAATTGGGGTTTTTGGTCTTGTTGCCGTCGGCCTCAATTTTTAGCTGATAAAAGAGCATCACTTTTTATGTCAAAAATTTGGAAATTTAGCTATTCCATACCGGATGATATCGTACAAACTCCAACTAAAAACAAATATAATTGCTCTCTACACAAGATGGGTGAGAAGTGGACAATATACAATATATACCTCAAATCGCACAAAAACCATTTGGAAGGAAGACTGCGAACATGTATACTTGAGCAGTAAAACGACTGTAAATAATCCCCGGTGAATCGAACAGTGAATCCATGGAAGAACTTTCTCATGTTTATTTAGGAGAAATCATGCATGCTTTCAGAAAGTGTTATTTCCCTCTCCAAGTAAAAGAAATGATTAATAGTACTAAGCAAAAGCTTAGATTGGCAGCTTGCCCAAATGCTCAAAGGGTTGCTTTGTTTGCTTTAGGGGCTGTTTGGTTCGCTTAAAAGAGCCCCGAAAACCCATTTCCTCCATCTGACAAAAGTACCACCTCGAAAAAAACCCATTCTAGGGTTTTCTTTTCTCCGTTTTGGTTTGCTTCTTCTCTTCGTCCCTCCAGCCGCGAAACCCCCCTCCACCTTAGCTCTTCGCCTTTCCCCAATTTCCTTCAAAAACGAGAGGAAATTAGTGTAAAATAGCCCAAAATCTGTACTATTGTTAGATCTGCGGTTTATTTGGGCAAAACTTGTTGATGGTTAGGGTTACCACCGCTCTCCCT